TTTCAGCTGCTAGAGGGCCCTCAAGTGTTATGGCAAGCCAAGTGTCTCATTAATAGGTAAAAGTGGCTATTAATGAGACACTTGGCTTGCCATAAAGCCACCTTCGTCTCGCTCTGAAACTCCTGGAGCAAACATCAAATCAGCTGCATTTCGCCGCGCCGCCCAGGCGAAATGCAGCTGATTTGACCATTAAAGTGCATTTATTAAGAAAAAATTAAACTGAGACACACCTTCGCTATAATGTCGAGCAAACAAACAATTGTTTTTAGATGTTAATCTTCTTAAATTTTGAAGCAATGCACAGCAAGTCCTCCCTCTGCAAGCTCCAGCAGCCACAAATCCATTTTTGAAATGCAGCTGATTTGACCATTAAAGTGCATTTATTGAGAAAAAGTTAAACTGAGACACACCTTCGCTATAATCTCAAGCAAACAAATTGTTTTTAAGTGTTAATGTTGTTAAATTCTTGTTAAAGTCCTCCCGTGCACGCGCCCACGACCACCATTTGGTAGTCAATTGATTTTTGGCACAACACCAACCCACGTTTCCGGGTGGTGAGTGGAGACGCATAGCAAGCGTGGCGCGTCAGCGGTGACGCATAATAGATGTGACTTATAAGGCGAAGCGACTTATTTATGTTTTTTCCACTTTATTAAACATTTTTGTGTATGGCGGCAAGTATGGTAGTTATTCTCTTATGTTTGCTTATATAATGGATGGATGCTTCTGCTAATATGCCTTTTAAGCTGGAAACAAAGGTAGCCATAAAACCAAGCTGGTGTATGAGCATGCTCTAAATGTATTATCTCACTGGACTGCGATTAGTTGAGATTAGTCACTCAACATTGTGAGAAAATATGCAAATTTTCTGTTGAACGACCAGTGAACCATGTGGCTGTGTTTTGAGCAGCCTATTTTTGTGTGCACGGCTTGCAAGGTTGTATTCTAGGCCGTGCACATTATTTCGTTGCCAACCTAGTTGGCAACAACAGCCCATTACGATGCTGCTTTAATCAACAAGAGTGCTCATTTCTGCTGTGCTGGCTTGTTGTTTGTGAACACACTGAGTCGCTTCTGTTTCATATGTGTGAATATCCAAAGTGGAACAGTGCCGACCTCATGAGAAAACCAATGTGGGGGGAAAGGGACTTTTGTTTGCAGTTGTGCTAAACTAGCCTCTGGGTTGATGTTATGCAAATGTGTTTCACGGGGATGTCAAAAAGTCAAGTTTACAAAAGAAGTTTTTCAGGCGGTTCCTGAGTAAATGTTGTGGAGAATTGCTAATTTCAGTGTTTACTTGCCTTATTTTAGCAAACATTCAGGCCTTTACATGCATATAAAGCGAAACGTATAATTACCCAAAATGTGCAAGATGGCCTCTTAAAACCTGATAAGTAATTTCAATTTGAAAGTAGTTATATTTAAAACTAAATGAAGATGCAAGCTACTTGAAAATAATAATGGCAAAAAATAGTATATTCCAACAAAGTTAAGTCAGGTCATCTGGACGGTTTCTTTTTTTGTTGAGACTTTTTGTCCTTCAGACAAAGGACTTCATCAGTCCGATGAGCCACAACAAACTCAGTCCCACAAGCAGCACACTCACATAGTGGGCCAACCAGTTTGATGGTGATTAGATGGTTTCTGGGGCCCATCTTCTCCCCCATCGACTCCTGAGGCAGCCATAGTCAAAGTGGTTCAAAACATCAAAGTTTATGCTCAACACAGTATATTATTTATTTATTTTTTAAAGGCAATAAAGCAGTTAATGTCAATTGTTTATTATACAATTAATCATCAACAAATAATTCATGACTATGTACACTATTTTAGCTATATTTATTTAGTTTATTGTACAAAAACTAAAGTTTATAACAAAATGAACTGTAGCTGTATCAACATTACTAAACCTATATTTGCTTGTACTCTTGTTTTGGAATATTTTCAGCTTCAATCTAATGTATGCTTCTCCAGTGAGTATTTTCACTAGTGTTTATTTGTTTATGTGGGATTAATTTAAAACAAACTGCAAAACATTGGTCTTTTTTGTAAAGAAAAATGTTACTTATTGTGTTTCCCTGGTGTTTTTTTTTTTCTTTCTTATCTTCTTGGCACTGAAGAGAAATCCATACCAGACTTGGGCCAAAATATCACTTTTTTTATTTTTTTTATTTAAATATGCTCACCCACCCCCCGGCTGCTACACAAAAGATTTGACAATTGTTTTACCCTGGATGAACTTTCTGGTGCAACCTGGATTCAAACCTGCAGCCTCAGGATTATGAGACTGCAGCACTAACTGCCGAGCTACCACAACCCTGATACTGAAAGCAATATAAAATCTTTAAACTCTCTGCAGTTCTTCTTAAATAGTTTATTTATTTTGGTTTTAATAAGGTAAAATATTAATAAAAAGATAATTCTGGGTAAGCAAGCCGAGCCAAAAATCAGAGGAAATAATTAGTGAGACGGAGTACCTGTATGGACCAGACTGTAGCTGGGAGTTCGGTCTGCTCACACTGATATAAAAGGTGTGTGATGACCTACAAACACACGCCATGGACTTTGTGGATAAGGTGAGGGATGTCATCATGGAGACTGATGAAACAATGGTCTCTTTTGATGTCACATCACTCTTTATGTGCATTCCTGTTGATGATGCAGTAGAGGTGGTCAGTTTAAGATTAAAATCAGACACCACTCTGAGCAGCAGGACCACACTTTCCACAGAACAACTGTGTCAACTCTTGAAACTGTGCCTGCAGTCAACCTACTTCACATATGGGGAGCAATATTATAGGCAGAAACATGGGTGTGCTATGGGGTCTCCAGTTTCTCTATTGTGGCCAACCTGTACATGGAGGAGGTAGAAAAGAGAGCCTTGACCTCCTTTTCAGGGACACCACCAAGTCATTGGTTCAGGTATGTTGATGACACCTGGGTTAAAATTAAATCTCAGGAAGTCCAACATTTTACTGACCACATCAACTCTGTGGATAAATACATCCAAGTTCACGTGAGAAGATGAAAAAAATGGCAGGTTGACTTTCTTGGACTGTGAGGTCTCAGTTTCTGATAGAGGACATTTGCAAACTGAGGTGTACCGCAAACCCACCCACACAGACCAGTATTTGCAGTTCGACTCCCATCACCCTTTGGAGCACAAGTTAGGAGTCATCAGGACTCTGTATCACAGAGCAGACAGCGTCCCCACTAACTCAGGAGCCAGGCAGAAGGAGAAATCCCACACAAAACAGGCTCAACAATGTGGATATCCTAACTGGGCCTTCCTAAAAGCAGAGAAGAAACCCAAACAGGACTCCAGTCAGCCATCAGGTGAAAAGGAGAAACCCAGACCCAGACCAGTGGTCATTCCATATGTTGAGGGAGTATCAGAGAAACTGAGACGTTTATTTTCTAAACATAACGTCCCAGTGGCTTTTAAACCCAAATTACATTATGGCAAAGACTGGTTCATCCCAAAGATCCAGTCCCCCGGCACAAACAGAGCAATGTTGTGTATGCTGTTCAGTGTCAGGAGGGCTGTGATCAGTCTTACATCGGGGAAACAAAACAGCCACTGGCCAAAAGGATGGCCCAGCACAGAAGATCAACACCATCAGGCCAGGACTCTGCGGTCTACACTCATCTCCAGGCCAGCGGTCACTCTTTCAGGGATGAAGATGTTCACATCCTGGACAGAGAGGAACGACGGTTTGAGAGAGGAGTAAAGGAGGCCATCTTTGTGAAATCGTCCATCATTAAACAGGGGTGGAGGCCTCCAGGTTCAACTGTTCCCCTCTTACAATGCTGTTATTGCTAGTATCACTTAGCCCCCTGTGAATAGTAAACAGCCATCAGTGTGCTAATGACCCATTGTTAGGCTGATGGTCCTTCTTGAGCATGTGATCAGCTGGTTTTGGTTGTCAGCAACAAAACTGGTTGATCCACTCTGAGACGGTGCTATTTAAGAGACTGAGCTGAATACAGCACCTCAGACTGAGGAAGTCTTTTGGATGAATGATGAAACGTTTCTACAATTAAAAAAATTATTTTTATGTCCAGAGGACCAGATTTAACTTTTTTAGATTTTTCTACCTGGATTATTGAGCATGCTTCAGGATACTACAAACACACACTATCCAGAGACTTGTGTAAAGCTCAGGACAAACACAAAAAAACACAAAAACAGGGATACTCATGTTTGTCTATAATTTCAAACATGTAGGTAGTTACAGAAAAATATATAAGGCATCATTGAGTCAGAATATTTTTCACAAAGTCAGCAAAGAATAAAATCTGCATCCTGTCTCAGGTGGCTTTACTGTAGGTGAAAAAATCTCTGTCAAGTCAGGGCTGAAATATGACACTCGAACATGGCCTCTACTGGGAAATCAGCAGAATGTAAATGATTCAACAGCACCTCTACGTGGCTGCAGACGCTTAGCTGACACAAACTTAAGATTGAGGAGACGCAGTTTAGGGGTGCTTTTCTTGTCTGACTGCACTCAGCTACACACGCTGAGCGGAGGAAACGAACTTTAGGATGCTTGAATACATGAAGGGCTCTCTTCAGACAGAATGTAAAACTTTTACCAAGTTAGTCTGTTCAGAAGCTCAAACTGCAGGACTGCAGACCGTCTGCAGCTCTGCAGTGAGTGATGCTATCGGTGTGGCCAATAATGCGGCGTCTTGCTTCCCTGCAGCTCAGGGTTGTAAATCTGTACCTTATCTGTGTGAAGCATTCGAGCTTTGTCACTGTATCTGACATAAATGTTGTTTAATACTCCCATGATCCTCAGGTTGTCGTGTCTAATGAACATTCAGCTTTACACTCCTTTAAGACTTGGTGTTCACCTTATTTAGATCCTTAATCAGTGTAAAGTTACATTTTCTCGCAAGTTTTCTAATCGTGTATTCACAGCAAAGGTTTAAACACAGTCATTTCTTGTTATATTTATGGTTCTGAGAGGATTACATGTTCCTCTTTGTCTTCACAGCTTTTCAGGGAAGTCAGAATAATGAAGATTCTGAATCATCCTAATATAGGTGAGTGAACTGGAACCTGATAATCAAAGCAACTCACTGACAAAGAAATAGTTAAAATTTTACCACTGTATTTTGTTGTTTGTAGTGATGGTACCTAAATATGATTTTCAAAAATAGTTTTGTATTAACCATGTGTGGTTGCTTAATGTGAAAAATCTAAGCTTGATTTATGGTTCATCTTTTATTTCCTTATTTCTCCTGCAGTAAAACTGTTTGAGGTGATTGAAACAGAAAAGACACTTTATTTAGTGATGGAGTATGCAAGCGGTGGTAAGCACCCCCCACCCCACACACACTTTTTTAAATGTATTCATCTGTTTCAGTATGCACATGTTCAGTTCCTGTAAGTTCAAACTGCCTCAAATGTAATATGGATATTACATTACAGCCATTTACTATTTTTAAACGCATAAATGTAAAACATAACGTCTCATGGGTTGTTTCTTGTCATAGGAGAGGTATTCGACTATCTAGTGGCTCACGGCCGAATGAAGGAGAAGGAGGCCAGGGCCAAGTTCAGACAGGTGAGTCATCAGGGTTCCAGTACCTCAGTTCTTATAGCATCACTCTTTTCTGAAGGAAGGCTGCACTCACTAAAATCTAGCTTTGTCATGGAGTGCAGGATGAAGGCAGGCTGCTGATGGCTTCAGAGTTTTAAATGCTGCTCTGACACCTAGTGGTTAAATATATGCAACAACAGCTAAAACAATAAATAGAAAACATTTATTTTAGTGCAACATTAGCAAGATCTTCATAAACCATTTATTTTGGGTATTAAAACTCTTCGTTGAATGGCTCAAAAAGGACTGTTGCAGCATAAGATCAAAATCCAGCTAAGTTGAAATACTCGTTTGTACTAATGCATACGACTTTATCATTAGACAGTTGGTTTCTGTCTCATCAATGTTGATGCTGTTGTAGCGTTTGTCAGTGAATGTCTCGGCCACAGCAGTTTCTGATTGTGTCATAGGATAAACATAATATAAGACCTCAATCAGTAGCTCTAAGAACTTGTTTTGGCACATCTCCCCCACCTTTTCGAAATAATGAAAAGTTAGTCCTGCGATATTATCAGTAATGATATGAAAAGACATATCTATAAAACTTTTACCAATGAAACTTTGGCAGTATTGTTAAACTTCTTTCTGAAAACAAATTGAACTGTTTTGGTCCAATTTCAATACTTTTTTTCCCCTCAAAAAGATGAAAGATTAAAGTGCATGTCAAATCATATTAATCAACATGAAAGTTATTAAAACTAACCAAATTATCACATCAAGTCCTGACTGTACGCTAAAGCTTGCAAACATTATCATTCCAAGGAACATGGTACCAGCAGCAGGGTTTGGCACCAACACAGAAAGCAGAGGTCTATTTAAAACAGACAGAGGGTGATCACTGAGTTGGAACACCTGAGTGTAATTAGCAGATGCTGAGCAGGTGTAAAGGACACTGAGGAACCAGGAAGCATGAGGAAACAAAGGAAAGTGACACAAGGAGAAAATGAAGTAAACAAAATGAACAGGTGAATCTCTAAAATAACACAATAAGGAAAAACATGGAAGTTATGAACACATTTTCAAACTAAATGAAGTCAAAACCTCTACGACCGTAACATGCTAACTGAAAACATAACAGCTAATAAATAAAACAAATTATTTTTGTCATGATTTTTTTGCTGTAAACTAAGTAATTTGGGACTGTCGATGAGATGATGCAAGTCAGCTCTTGAAGAAAATCTTTACAGATCTGTGATGATCGTAGTGTTCGTGTGACTTGTACATGGTTTTTTTTTACTGCTGAGAACTTCTGTAAAAACAGATGTTTCTGTAAGTATCTTAACAGTGACCTGTGAGGTGCGGTTGTATTTCAGATCGTGTCTGCAGTGCAGTATTGTCATCAAAGGCGGATAGTACATAGAGATCTAAAGGTAAGATCCTTTCTGATCTGATTTCTTCTGGCTTATATCCTTGTATCTATTAACAACTTGTTTTCTGTCTGCCTCCCATCAGGCTGAGAACCTGCTGCTAGATGCAGATATGAACATTAAGATAGCTGATTTTGGCTTCAGCAATGAGTTCACCGTGGGCAGTAAGCTGGACACTTTCTGCGGCTCCCCGCCGTACGCTGCTCCTGAGCTCTTTCAAGGAAAGAAGTACGATGGTCCTGAAGTGGACGTCTGGAGTCTAGGAGTTATCCTGTACACACTGGTCAGCGGATCACTGCCCTTCGACGGACAGAACCTAAAGGTAAGTTCTCGGAAACATCACCTACTCACTCCATAAATATTTTACTCTAAATGTAATGGTAACTCGCTAATTGGACATTTTCTCCTTGAAAAAAACTATGACAATGAGGAATACATAAATAAGAAAATGTTTATTGAAGTCACAAACTCAAATGAAGTAGACAAACACAGACATATGGCCTTTCAAGCTTTTAAGACTGACATTTAATACAAGAAATATGGTATGTTAGTAGTCAGCGTGTAGATAAAGATGACCAACTGACCAAGGAGTACAGGGTGCAGCGATGGGTACGGTAGTTACAACCAGTTATGAATCTTAGCGCACCACGGTAGACAGCATCCAACATCTGCAAGGAGCTGGCAGGAGCATTCATATAAACAATGTCACCATAGTCAATGGTCGGTAGGAAGGTAGTGGTTACAAGGCGTTTTCTGACATTCAGAGCTAAGCAAGATCTATTTCTGAAAAAGAAACCCAGTTTTATTTTCAGTTTCTTTATGAAATTTTCGATATGTGGTTTAAAAGAGAGATGTGCATCGACCAAAATTCCCAAGTATTTGTACAAATCTACAAACTCAACAGGAACACCATGCATGGATGAGATAGGAGGAAGAGTAACTGGCACCAACTTTCTGTTGGAAAACAACATCTCTTTGGTTTTGTCAGCATTTAGCACCAGCTTGAGATGGGATAAGTCTGACTGAATGATGTCAAATCCAGACTGTTGAAGCTGGAAAACCTTGGCAACTGTGTTAGTTTGGCAATAGACCACAGTGTCATCAGCATAGAGATGCAAGGATGCATCAGGAATGTTTTGGCCTACATTATTTATATAAATTGTAAAAAGAGTGGGACCTAAAACTGAGCCTTGTGGCACACCATTGGTGACTGTTAGGTAGCTAGATAAACTTAGCTACTTAACATATAACAAATGAGGTGACGTTTTCTTCTTTTTTTTATATAGTTTTAACCGATTATTCAGGGTTCAGGAGTAAATAAGAGTCAGAGTCAGAGTCAGAGTTTCTTTATTGTCATTCGCACCTCATGTGGTACATGTGGTGGAGTGAAATTATGTACACAGGGTCCCATTAATAAGCCTTCAGTAAAAATAATTCCAAATGCCTGGTGTAAAGCAAGGTGGAGTGATCTGTCTGTTGTTTCACCCATCAATGTTTTTAATCAGAAATGTATTGTTTGAACACATGCCATGTTGAAGGGGTTGCTTGTGTCTATGAACCCATCTCCCACTCTACAGTGACCTAAATGAGAATCTGTGTTTACTGCTGCATTTATCAGGAACATGATTCTTAATTATTATGTTGCTCTTTTTGTGCTGAATAAGCCATTTTAAACCATTTTCATGTGTTTCCAGTGCCTCTTTATGTGCTAAATAAATGGCACAATGCAGCCTTTTTGATTTTTGTTGCCGTTTTCTCATTTGGTTTAAATTTTGTTTGGCTACTGTGCAGGAGCTTAGGGAGCGAGTGCTGCGGGGAAAGTACCGCATTCCTTTCTACATGTCCACAGACTGTGAAAACCTGCTGAAGAAGCTCCTCGTTCTCAACCCCGTCAAACGGGGCAGTTTGGAGGTATTTAAAATGGGAAACAGTATTTACCTGTGAAGGGGTGAAAAAGTGAAATCTGTGTATATTATATAACTTTAACAGTCTCATTTCTTTGTTAGCAAATCATGAAAGACCACTGGATGAATGTGGGTCACGACGAGGAGGAGCTCAAACCTTACGTTGAGCCTGAGCCCGACTTTAATGATTCATCCAGAATAGGTGCGTCTCAGTGTCTCCATCAGCGTGTAGACGCCATTAATGAGTGAGAGAAAACATCTTCTGTAAAGTGAAGTGTGAATGTTGAATGGCTTGGCTGAAATTTACTGAAGAAGTTGAAACTAAGTGGCTAAAGCTAAATGAAGCAAAAGACTAGCTAAAATTAAAAAAAAAGCACAAACCTTGTGGAAATAAAAATGGAGGAAAAGGCTAGCTAAATGCTAAAAGAAGCAAGAATCCAGATAAGGGTCAAAAGTAGAAAAGGGGTAGTTAAAAGCCAAAAGTAGCAAAAGGCTAGTTGAAAGCCGAAAGGCTAACTAAAAGTAGTATAGGGGTAGCTAAAAACTTTAAATAGCATTAGAACAAGTTTGCTGAAGATTTCAAAGAGAACAATGTTTGGAAGGATTGGAGACATCCCAAGATATTTCTATGGTGAAAATAATAAATTTGTACATTTTATATAAAGTTAAATTTTGCTATTAACTGATATCGATAGGCAGAATAATCTCTACTGTTCAGAGTCACATTTTCGAATCTAACGTGTTTTCTGGTCAATCAGAGCTCATGGTGACGATGGGTTTCCCTAAAGATGAGATCACAGAGTCTCTACAAAACCAGAAGTACGATGAGGTCATGGCCACCTACCTGCTGCTGGGCCGAAAAGCTCCAGAGGTGAGTTTCCTTCAACTCCTCGTCATCACCATGGTCTCATGCCGTCCGACCACGCCCTGTTATCGTCTGCTGTTGTGTTGCAGTTTGAGGGCAGCGAGCCGGTGACTAACAGTGTCCTGGGCCAGAGACAGAGACCGACTAGTGACATCAACAACAGCTCCAGCATTTCTCCCGCCCATCCCAAGGTCACACGCAGCATCTCGGCCAATCAGAAGCAGCGCCGCTACAGTGATCATGGTGGGGATGATGATGGTGGTGGTGTCGTAGAGAAGCCAAGTAAAGTAATCTTGTATTTCCCAGCTCTGAGAGTGCTGCGGGCTGCGTGTTGTGAAGGGGGAAGTTACCCTCAGTCACTGATAACAGCAGGATCACTTAACTGGTTCAAACATGCTGGTGTAAGATTCACACTTTTTAACATATTTAAATGTTAAGATGGGGGGGAAGACACCTGAAATCTAAACAGACTTAATTTTATGAACTGCTCAGTGACTCAGCCTTACTGAACTGGCTGTGGCAGCTTCCTCCTACGTCATGTGGAGCCATTGTTTGTGGCGCCCTCTTGTGGCTAGCTGCTTTCCTGCAGCTCCCTGTAGAACAGCACCGTGAAAGCATGAGGAGGGGGAACAGCTCTGCTTCAAACATGCTCACCTTGGCTTCTGTAAATGCATATGTTATAAAGCAAAGTGTCGTTGTGTTTGACGCCCGACAGATTTGATCTTGTGTGAACTTTGGCTTTGAGCGGCTTTGCTTAATGCTACTGGAACCAAGAATTTGTCCTTGTTTGTTCTGTTTCTCCCTAAATATTAAATGTTGGATGACTTTTCTGAACAATCACACGTATTTGTAAAAAATTCCCCCTCCATATCTGTGTTTTCTTCTCAGTGGGTCCATCTGTGCCACCAGCGGTGTCGTATTCGAAGCGTGGTCAGGCCCTGAGTGTGGAAAGTGACCACAGGGAGGAGTGGGACGGAGCTCGTCGGCTGGAGCTCAGCACTTCGAAAGGAGACGTTCCTGCTTCACCGCTGGGGGTGCAGGAGAGGAAGAAAGCTACGAGTGCTGTAGGGGTGAGGAGGCAGATGCAGAGAAGGCAGACAAATAGACTTTTTAAACCTATTTAAAAGAAATTCATAAAAAAGAGTTGTGAAGTGCATTAGCCTTAATTTATGGGATAAAGAGCAATATCAGTAGGTAAAATTCAGTGTGGCGGCAAAAATCTGTTGTTTTATTTTGTCTGCCTTGTCAGGTTCATATTGTTTTGCAAAATCTAAATATTTCAACTAATGGATAGATTTATTAACTTTTTTAAGAGTTAAAGATGTGTGCATTTTAATCAAAATACTGTATATAAGGTTCTAAAAAAAGTTAAGTCAGGTCCTCTGGACGTTCAAAAAACAAAAAAAAAAAAGTAGAAATGTTTCATCTTTCATCTGAAAGACTTCTTCAGTCTTAAAACTCTCAACTAATTTGAGGCAATCCAGGCCAAAGTGGTTCAAAATGTCCTGATGCATGCTCAATAATCCAGGTAGAACAATCTAAAATAGTGAAGTCAGGTCCTCTGGACGTTCAAAAAACAAAAAAAAAAAATGTAGAAGTGTTTCGTGTATATAAGGTTGTTTTTGTGTTTGTGGAAAACAGCTTTTTTCTAACAAAACAAATACATGCACTTGGTGTTTTTGTGAAATTTCTTTAAATTTGGTGAAAAAAAAAAAAATCTAAAAGTGTCTTGCCTCCATGCCACCATGGAGCTGCCAGGGTGCCTGAACAGACAAATTACTGCTACTAAATATTTACATTGTTAGCAGTTCTATATTGATTTAATATTTAATTTATACAAATAATTTTGTGTTGCTCATTTTATTTTTACAATTAGATGTTTGGAGGCCTTTGTTAACCCACTTCCTTATTTGCTTTTATTCTGTTAAATACTAGATTATTTTTATATACTTGAGTTGTTTAGATCCTGTTAATTACCTTTTATTTTCTACTGTTGTATTTAAATTTTTTGATGTTTTAAAAATACTAAAACTTTTGGTTTGGTTGTAAAAGTATATATTTAAGTTCATTCTCATAATAACAATTTTGTCTCACTCTAGTTCATGAAAAGGAGACTGAAACTTCACTTAAATATAGATCTAGATATTTAGATGTGTTAATATTCAAGTTCAGTATTGGAAAATAAAAACCATAAACATTTTTTGTGATTTCATCTTGGTTCTTTTTTTGTTTATTTGTTGTTGTTTTTTCTTTTTCTCCATTAGCAGGCCAACGGTTCAATGACTCGCAGAAACACGTATGTGTGTGAACGATCCTCCATGGATCGATATTCAGCTATTCCTAATGGCAAAGACAGCAGGTAAAGATAAAACATTTATCTACTAAATTAATTGGGTCCTTCTGTTGTTTATTTCCTGGCTTCATTTAGATTTTGTCTTGAGTCTCCGTGTTTGTGTGGTGATCCTCTCTGTGTTCGGTCCTCAGTTTAACGGAGGTGTCAGGAAATACGCCGTCCACTGCACTGAGCTCTACACGACCTCGTCACACCAAGTCTATGTCCTCGTCGGGGCATCCTTCAAAGAGCACACTGCCCCCCATCGATGACAACACGGAGCTTAAATCCAGGTGGGCAGCAGCTCTGCACTGACAGCTTGTGAAAGATCACAAAAAGTGCTTATAAAGTTCCCATTTTTACATTAAAACAACATTTGCAGTAGGGATGCACGATACTGGATTTTTGATCGATATGCTAAAACTTATTTGGCCGATACTGATATTTTTATATACTTTGTCAGAACGTCGCCCTCTTATTTAGGCTTATTTGCTACAAAAACTGTGTAACAGCTGTAAGAGCTGGTGACATATATTCAGTAACAGCCATATGCATAGCACTTTAACTTATATTAAATGAAGAGTGTTAAATGTTATTAGCATTAGTCACCTGCGATGCTGTCTCACTTGTGGAGGCTTGTTCCAGGTTTCTAGCTGCAGTGTGGGATCCTCTGCACTTTTGTTCATGAAGGACAGTTCAAAGTTTTGTCTATCCTTTGTGCCACAAGACTAATCATGCTAACGGGGCTAACACGACGTCCAAATGTCTGTGGTAAAACTCACCCAAGTGCTATCGGCTATTAGCTTCTCAATGATGTTGGAAATGACGGCTTGTAACTTGGGTAAGGCTACGTCGGAAAAATATCTCTGACTGGGGACGATGTAGCGAGGCTCAACGTAGTCTATAAATCTTTGGAATCCAATTTCCTCATTGAAAAAAAACTTCCACACCGCCGACATTTTGACTTCTTCCTCTCTGCCGTGATCAGATGAGGTGGGCGCTCGTGACGTCATCATGTGCTGGCGCTGCAGGCATCCTTGTCACTGGGTTGTCATACAAAAACAGCTCCTTTTATATCAGTGAGTTATTTTGATGGAATGTCCGATATTTAACGCTAATATCGGCAATACCGTTACCCTGCCGATAATATCGTGCATCCTTAGTTCGCAGTTCACTTCCTGTGTTTTTATTGATGCTGATGGACAGAATATTTTCACACATGTTTTGTCTTCTTTTATATCTGGCGACTTTGCAGCTCCTCTCCACGTGATCCCTCCACCTCTCCCTCAGTACACAGTATTAGCACACCTGAGAAAAACCGGTTCCCCCGGGGCACCACCAGTCGCAGCACCTTTCACGGAGCTCAGCTCAGAGACCGCCGCAGCGCTACATATAACGGTCCCCCAGCCTCGCCCACATTGTCCCATGACACGGGGGCTCTTGCACAGCAACGCAGGGGCACCTCCACGGGAATCATCGGCAAGATCACCTCAAAGTTTGTCCGCAGGTCAGTGAAAACAATCAAATGCACTGCAGCGTTCTTAAACAGAGTTTCACTGTAAATAGTTTTAGTCACGCTGGGGTACTTTTTACGAACTTCCTGTCCGTAAAAGATCAGACTCTTCATGCAGTCAGCCCCTACTGTCAGCTTCTAGCTGCCCCACCTGCTAGAGGCTTACAGCTTTCTTTTCTTTTCCTCCCGCCTATAGAGCTCTGTCTTTCAGGTCAACCCGGAGGTAGGAGAACTTAACGCTTGCTGCTCATGTTCCTCGCTCCTGTCCAGAACAGTACATATAAAAAAAAGAAACTTCTTTTTGCCCTGTTTGTTTTTAACTCCTTTACGTACTTGCCCTTCACCACGCCACATCCTTGCCTTCTGACACCTTTGTCATGCCGTGCCTCTCCTCCCCTCGTGTCCACCGCCTTTCTGACTAAACGTCTCGGCTCGCCAGCTTTGTCTCTACTAAGCCACCAGATGTCTGTCTCTAGCTGCGAGCTGTCCTCTCCTTACTCTCCTCCATCTTCGTGCCAAGCTTAAGAGAACAAAATTAGGCAAATTACAGAAGAAGAAATGTAGATTGAGATCCACTTTTCCACTCTTAACGCGTCAGTGGGGATTAAGGAAAGGTATGGTACTCTGGATGGGATAATGCAAATGTGAGTTCTAAGGGTCAGTGCCTCCGAACGTCACCTCATTGTGTGCTGAGCCCTGACATCCAGGAGTGTGGATTCTTTCCTGGCATGATGCCTGACTACCCCATCTGTGTTCAGTGATGATTGGGCTGGGTTGGGTAGCAGATGAAGGGATGAATGATGCTGATATTGTCTCCTAAATATAAAAAGTCTATGGGTTTATTTCAGGGTGCCTAGTGAGGGAGAAGCCAGTGCCAGGATGGAAACACCGAGGTGAGGTTTTGATCTGGATGCTGATTTTATGGAGACCTTCTAACTTCTGCTTCTGTTAACATGTTCGTCCTCACTTGTTGTAGGAGCGCGTCTGGCGATTCTAAGGAAGACGGCTGTCGAGACGCCAAGCCCCGCTCGCTGCGTTTCACCTGGAGCATGAAGACCACCTCCTCCATGGAGCCCGCCGACATGATGAGAGAGATCCGAAAAGTCCTGGACGCCAACAGCTGCGACTACGAGCAGCGCGAGCGCTTCCTGCTTTTCTGCGTCCACGGCGACGCTCGCCAGGACAATCTGGTCCAGTGGGAGATGGAGGTGTGCAAGCTGCCCCGCCTTTCGCTCAACGGCGTGCGCTTCAAGAGGATATCGGGCACGTCCATCGCCTTTAAGAACATCGCCTGCAAAATTGCCAACGAGCTCAAACTGTGACGGCAGATGGAGTACCACTCAGGCTTCGGTGAGCCTCCTCTCATCACTGGATTAGTGTTGACTCACGGGACTAAATCAGCACTGAAGGGCCTCACCGCGCAGAATCAGGGTGGACTCGGCTGGGAACGTGCAATCCTGGCCGTGAATGTACTGTACAGGGTAGTGCAGATCGGAGATATCACGAGGTTTAACCTCAGTGACGGACAGATGGCAAAACTAACTAACCCTTCGTTGTTCACTTTTCAAACATTTTTAATTTTATTTCTCTCCGTCCGGCCTCGTCTCTCTCATCAGCCTGCTGCTACATGTCAGAGGACGCAGTCATGTAACACATGCAGTATGCAACTGAAGATGACCATCCTGCAATAATGTTTTCAGCCTGTTTTTCTAAATACTTGGAGATCTATTTCTTCGCTGAATAACCATTAAAATTACCGTAAGCTAACGATAACCGCTTTTCCACCTGTTAAGGCAGTATATAAATCAGGCTGGAGCCCATACTAAAACTTATGTATAAAAAAATTGTACTGTATGCATAACATCTGCAGGTACTGTATTGTATATTACTTTTGAGTTCTGTACAGAATTTTATTGTTAATACTGTCTTTTTTTTAAATTGGGTTAATTTTCCTAATATGATTCACGTCTCTTCGAGCAACGATTCTGTCGAGTTTTCTTGCAGTCGCCCTTTTAAAAAAAAAAAAATAATCTGTAAGAACCACAATATACAAGTAGTGTTTTCAGGTTTATTTAAAGATCGCTAAATTATGTTGTGGAAAATTAAGGGTCACATTCTTTTGCCTTTTCTGTTATTTTTGCCTCTTTAGGGAAACAAAACAAAAAAAAAACCACTAAATTGCACCACACAGATTTGAGTCGTAACTTTAGTTAAGGCTGAAAACGTGTTCACTTTATTTTCTCTCCACCGCGGGGATCTGCAGGTCCCTGCTGCAGTTGCACAAGTATTCCAGGGTGAACACGAGCGTGTAGCACCCGTGTTTTGTTTTGCCACTTTGGTTGTCCTCGATTCCAGAGAACGGCTGGGTTGAATTTGGCTCACTTTGGGAAGAAGCGTGCTCGATGTGTGCATCCAGACTGAAGACGCATGAGGAGTCGCAAGCTTGAAGTTATTGCTGTGGAGCCGTTCTAAAGAGCCAGATTTAGTCCTGCCGTCAGTGTGGTTGTGCAGGTTCCTGTGTATCTCCTTGTTTATTATTTTTAATTCTGCCGATTTTACTGTATTTATTTCATGACATTGTAACGTGCTGCTTTGTAGATTTGAGGCGTGCACTTTGTCGGAGAAGATTAAAAGGATTTATTTGTTGGTATTTATTTAATTTAACGTCTCGTGGATTGTCACAACCTCACGGCACACCTTTGCGATCTCATTTAGATTCTGTCAGGATGTCGCACAAAGTTATGCCGTGCAGAAAGCTGAGATGAAATAATAACCTTTATTGACTCTAAGTAACATGGAATTCATCCAAATCATAACACAAGGGATGTATTTTGCATACGTTACTCAAAAGATCGTCAACAATATTCTCTATTTTCTTCATTTCAGTGTCTTTAAACAGTTCAGATAATAAAAACTGTCCAATACCTTTTGCACTATACAAACCATTAACAATAAAAATGTAAGTTGCAAGGATATACATGTACTTACAATACTTTTGTTTTAAATTTATGCATAACTTTTAAATCCTCCTCAGTTATGACTCTTTGACACGGACCCTCGTTAAACATACAAAAGCTTAATTTACAAATCTTGGAAAGAGAAAAATGTAAACATTTGTCTTGGCAGATTGGTTCCGTTAAACACGTCGGCTTAAAAAGTGTTTCAATATTACCTTCAGTAGATAAATACATGAGATAAATGTATAAACATTGGCAAATAATCTAAAAAGCTGATTGCAAAAAGTAAACCTGACTTTCTTTATGTTCAGTGGATCTTTGATGTAAGGCTCTTCATGCATTAAACGTCACAAACTATTGGAATCTAATTCTAACTTTGGATGCATGCCTCTCGAAGGTTTAGTCGAGATACGTGCTTTTTGTCTGTAACCGGATCATGCACGGATTCCAATGGGGTTTAAAACTGATGGGAAAATTGTCCGTACTTGAGTTTTCCTTTGCGAGTTGCTCAACACTGCATCTGATGCGTGAAATTCCTTTAAACGCACAAAAATAAATCACAACGAACCATTCGATAAAATTCAAAACAAAGAAAATCTCAGTTGCTGAGATCAATGACCAAGTGCTCATAGATCTGAGTTTTGCCTTTGAAGCTGGAGGCCAGCAGGAACTGACGGTTGTCTATGGAAACGGGAGAAAAGGCTCTTGGTGCCTGGATGTTCAGCTCCTGGAAACGAACAAACTCGGCCTTTTTGGCATCCCAGCGGTACACCTGGGTGAAGGAGTAATCGCTGCCCAGGATGGCGTACTGCCAGCTGCCCACAGCGAAGGGCTGGAACACCATGGAGCCTCGAGAGGGCATGGTCTGTAGCTCTCTAAAGAGGGCCCCATCCCAGCGCATCACCTTGGAGTCCCCAATGAAGCGCGTCAGGCAAATAAAAAGATCGGACTTGTCGTAAAAGTGCTTGACGGCGTAAACATCCTCCATCTCAGGGATGTCCGTGCGTCTGTCAAACTGCTTGGTGGCCTTGTTCCACTGGTAGATGACGGGCCGCTGGGAGCTGCTGGACAGGATCAGGTGAGGTTTGGAGGAAATCTCCAGGTACTCCACATCTGTGTCCCGGTACCACGGGTGGAGGGACTGATGAGAGTAGAAGCCGTTACCGTTCCACTTGTAGATGGTGGTGGAACCGGCCTTGGAGCTGTCCGCTACGACGAAGAAGGACTCTCCGTCGATGCGGAACGTCTCCACGTCGTTTGGCTTGCGAATTCTCAGGATGTCGATGCCCTGGAGCTTGATGAACTTGTTGGCAGAGATGTCCCGTTTGTAAATGTGCGAGCCTCCGAACAGCTGAGCCACAATGACGAAGAGCTGGCTGTCGATGACCAGAGGTTTGCAGATCACTGTGGACGTGCCTGTGATGAAACAGAACCATGTAATGGTTTCTCTTCTAGCCTTTTCTTTTAAACCACATCAAGGTTTATTTAGAACAACTTGATACTTACTGTCGATATCATCAAAGCTCCTGAATACCATTTCGACATGATCCCATTCTAGAAAGCTGCACTTCCCAATGAAGGGCTGTGCAAAGACAACATACTGGTCGTTCCCAAAAGAAAATGCTTCCACTGAAATGGACTCGAACTTCAGGGACTGGTAGGAGGCAAACTCTGTGGAGGGAACAGAAACACAGTGACGTTCAAAAGACAGAATGGTCTTTAAAACAACTAAACGCAGGCGTAGTCATTTTTTGTGTGTTTTTTAAGGTCAGTTGGCTGTGGCGGACATGCTGAGTGGGGCTGTCTCCATGAGGTATTTAGTTGTAGATCCATGGATTACTTTTGGAAAGTTTCATAAAAATCTGACTTATGAGATATTTTGCTACAAACACACACAGACGCGGGCAAAGGCATCATCTCTCTGCCTTCGCCTCTGGGCAGTCATCTGTAAGTTTGTCTCTACCTGTGGTGATGCAGTCAAAAGACTGAGGTTCCAAGTCGTTGATTTTCTTGTCCAGCTGCGAGGCCGGGCCTTTACAGTAAATCTGATCCACGGTGGCGTTGGTGCTGTATATCCACTCCACCAACCATTTCAGCTTACAGTCACACGTGAAGAGGTTCCCACGCAGTTCTCTGAAAGGAACACAAGCAGCCGTCACGACAAAAGCTAAGAGGAACACTCTCTCCTTCCCTGCTGGGATTCAGTCTGAACAGCTGCAGAGGATGAGGCGTGCCTGCGCTATCGCTAACTCTCACATCTTCACTCTGCGCTCTGGTTGACAAAAGGCAACATCTTGGCTGAATGATGGATTGCAAACGCTCCGTCGCTCGTTACTGCATGTAATTTTAATGGCGTTGAAAGCTCCGGCTGCCTACGCGCTTGTGAAACCTGGGCTGACGTGCAATAAATGATGCAGCGTTCTATTTATGGAAGAATGCTCAGACAGTTATTGTATTGCATATGATGCATTAGACACATTAAATCCGCATGAGTAGTTGATGTCATTAAAATCCATACTTACACTTTTGTCAAGGCTTCAAGACCTTTGAACAAATCTTTGGGGAGGGTCTCCAGATTGTTGTAGGCCAGACTCCTGAAACATTTAGCTTATTGTTAGTTCACAGTGTCTCCCCTGTTCAGTTTTACACTAATGTGTTTTCATTCATGTGAACAAATATCAGCGAGCACCCGGTAAAGTCAGGAACTTTGCATGTTGGGAGCTCAATATGAAACTATTTTACAAGCGTCTGCCTCCCCGCCTTCTTGTGGCTTTCTGTAATTTAAAACAGAAGCAGAAACTGAACCTGACTGCTTAAAGTTTTGTTGACTTTTTCCAGGCTTCGTGTTAAAGTAACTTATTGGAGATCTTGGAAAATCTAAACACGTATGACTAAGAAATGCACTTATTTTGCCTCATCTGTGATGAAGCATAATGCTTCATAATCATTTTAACAGCTGCGCCGTGTCACAATAATAGAAGCTTTGCTAAAAACCTTTGTCAGCATTTTATTAGAACAGTGTTACTCTGCTAATATTCAGTTACGCCCCGCTATACGTATTCTTGTGCTATTTTCGATGATGAACGTACAGTATCTTGGTTTTTTTTTGCACAGTAAGGAAAAAAAAACACGAGTACTTACAGGTGCACCAAGGTTTTCAGTCCACGGAAAGCATGAGGCGATATGGACCTGATTTGGTTGTTTTCTATAAATCTGAAAAAGGCGTTGAGTGAATGTGTGAAAACAGATGTGCTTCTGCGTGTTGGAAGAAAAAGACGTTTCCTAAAAGATTTAACTCACAGATACTCGAGATGAGAAAGACCAAGAAATGCATCCTCGTTTATTGCTTCCAGGTCGTTGGTTGTGAAGAGGCTGCGCAGAGAGGGCCTCAGGTTAAGTTTTTACTACTTAAGGTCATCAGGATGTGAAAAAACAACAACATTTTAGCAGTCTATAATGTCTGCATGTGACAATGGAAACAACAACACAAATCCATCCATCAATTTTCTTTATCCGCTTCTTTTCTCCTCTCCAGAACAAGAGGTGGGGTACCCCCTGGACCTGTCTCTGGTCCATCACAGAGTTCACTTTGAAACAGCAAAACATCAAGTTTTACTATGCCAAATGTGAAACAGAACCCCCACAAGTCTGTGAAGCCGAAATGTGCCGCGTCCATGAAAATGTCACTGAAATCCATCCAGGAAATCAGGAAAAAACACAAAGATTGGTGCAATGTTCTGCAAAAAACAACTTCTACAGGAGGACTTGGACTGAGTGTCAGTGAGAAATTAAGATTCTGTTTTGCTTTTTTTAAGAAAGCAAACAGGGTTTTTATTCAACTTTCTGTATTAATCAGAGGGTACGGTCATATAAACCTGAGCGCTCAGGTTTGTTTCCTATAGTTGACCGACTCTTCTCAGCTTCAGCATCTTTTTTTGACCCCAGCGTTATATCTTATATTACTTTAAACAACGTTACTCAATGAGGGGTGGTACAGTGGTTAGAGCTGTCGCCTCAAAGCAAGAATGTTGCAGGTTAGATTACTGCATGAGTGAGAGCATCAACGGTTGTTTGTGACCTGCAATGGCCGCTGGAGAAACACACCTGCTCCCTTAGGGCCCAGAAAAGAAGAAGCGTGTAAAGAAAGGGATAGATGGATGGGTTAGTACAAACCGTCCAGAGTCGAAGACTGACACTTTCTTGCTGTCCCTCAACTTTCAGTGCACCTTCTTGTTTCAGATAAGGATTTGTAGAAATCCTGTTTGTGTGAATGTGGCTCAGTCATGACTCAGAGGAATGAGGGATTCCCCTGGAATACATCTGGTTCTGAAGTCAGACCACATTCACCAGACTCAATCAAACTACAGTGCACGTATAAAAACTGCCTCCCTGACTGAGCCACTCTGATTGAACATCAAACATGGCGTTGATCTGCACAGGGAGAATGACAGCATGCAACATAAAGCAGAAGGAGCTCAGAGAGGAGGCTTTTCTCACAGCAGATGCAGGGGAGGCGTGTGGATGAAGCTCTCCTTTGCGATCTCGGTGAATTCCGACTTGACGAACGACCTGAGGGAGTCAGACACGACAAATGTCTCATCCCTTCTTCTTGCAGGGGAGGCAGCAGAACAAGTCTTTGCTCTAAATATGATGATTAGAAATAAAAGCATGAACTCACAGTGATATGACATCCGGGGGTAAGCTGCGGGGGATCGAGCCTGCGCTTTCGCACAGCGCGTTATCTTTGGTGCACGTACAGGACAGGGGGCAGCTCGGCTTCTTGGCTCTCCGGCTGTCCACCAGGAGTAAAACCGAGGCCACCAGCCAGAGCGACGTTCTGGACATTTTGCGTGTTTCCCGTCCCTGCGCAGCGCGGCGGGCAGCCCTCAACACGAACCGGGGGGGTCTCCGCGGTGCTTCCTGCCCGGAGAGGCCGAGCGCGCGCTGCTCCGCCGGTGGTTGGGGATCGAACCAGCGTCCCCAGCACAACCGCAGTGACACAAAATCAATATCCTTCCGTGACTCGAAGCAAAAAAACTCGTGGAAAAGTCTGGTGGAGCGTGGAGCTGAGGGAGGAGGACACCAGCTGGCGCCGTGACAGAGGCGGTGTGAGGGCAGGTGGGGATCCCTGCGGGAGCAGAAGGAGCGTCTCCATCCAAAACCACGCCTAGAGATGGTTTCAGCAACACCACCACCCCAGCCCCGAAGGATTCCGCCCAGACGGGCCGAGGGGATTGTGTAATTTTCTCGTGAATCGGGGGGAGAAGCGGGTTGTGCGGCGCAGACGCGGGCTCCTCCTGCACGCGGAGGAGGAGGACCGGGGAGAGGGTGAGGAGAGGGGGGCCAGGTTATCCGTGCAACCTGAACAGCTGCAGAACTGTCTCCCTAAAAATAAAACGAGTCATTTCTTCAGGGAAGTACTGTTTCCTGATTTCTCCGCGGTTTCCATGGTGACAGCAGGATGCAAAATGTTTCTGACCAGAGATGGGGTGAGGACCCCCCCCCCCCTCCCCGTTATCTGGACATCTGTTGTTTATGGACTGAACCCCCCACCCCCCGAATAGACTCACATTTGACTCTAATGTCTGTTTAAATCCCTGAGACAAACCTGAAAAGCCCCAAAAATAGTTTCACTGATTTTAATAAATTATTTTTTTTAAACTTATTTGCAATGAAGCTCAAACATTAATTTACAATGGTATATTGTATTTGTTTAGTTTATTTCAGATTTATTTCAGTTTTAAAGTCACAGCCCTCCCAGTTGTACTTCTGTGTAATTCTGAACCAGAATAAATCACTTGGTGGTGTTGGAGTTTCATGCACTTATTCTGTATTTTCACTTTCAGCTTGAGATGCACTCAGCCAACGCGTTTTGTGGATGTAAGTTTGGTCAAAGATTATTTTTTATTTCATAGAATCAGGCAGCAGGTCTGCCTTTTCTAAACTTAGGAGAAGTTGCAATGGTTTTGGCTCGGTGTAATCTCAAGACAGATAAGATAAATCTTATTATTTGGCTCGATAAAGTTCTGTACCTTGAACTTTTCTCTCTTTTTGCCATGAGACTTTATAACATAACCAATGATTTAGTGTA